TCTTTTCTTTTCTTTTCTTTTCTTTTCTTTTCTTTTCTTTTCTTTTCCTTTCTTTTCTTCTAACCAACATTCTTACTGTTTCTGATAAATGCCTGACAAAGTTACTGGGGACATCGATCTTCATTTACCAGTGTGTACTTACAGCTAGTAGGTATAGATGGGCACATTTTTATTATGATGGTTAGCACAAGCATACATGTGAGCATTCTAAATACAGTTTTCCATGTATTACCATATTTAATTTTTGTAACAAACACTAGAAATTTGGATTAATATTTTATATTTGTAAAAGGATATAAATAGCAGAGGTAGGATCCAAATTCCATTCTGAAGCATTAGGGTCTTTTTATATGTTTGTTTTGGATTTTTGTCCTCTATGTAATCTTGACTGTATTAGAACTCACTGCGTAGACCAGGCTGGCCTCAAACTCTTAGAGATTCCCCTGCCTCTGCCTCTGAGTGCTTGGATTAAAGGTCCATCGCTATGCTAGCCCTAGTTCTTTACTATTAGAGATATATATGTGACCTCCTAAAGCATTATACAATACAGACCTAGTGATAGGATTTTCTTTTCTACCATTTGTCCTGAAACTTGTGTATGATACTGGACATATAAATAATCCAAGATGATCCTGTATTTTCTTACTTTCCCAGCTCATGCTTGATACGTGGAATGAATCAATTTTTTCAAATATAAAAAACAGACTCCAGGATAGTGCAATGAAGCTGGTGCATGCTGAGAGATTAGGAGAAGCTTTTGATTCCCAGCTGGTCATAGGAGTGCGAGAATCCTACGGTATGTTCTCACTTTTATAATCACATTTCCTTTCTAGAAATCTTCTAATATTATAGTTCTGCCAGACTCACATCTACTTTGTGTACCATGTACTTTTTTAACAGTATGAAAATGGTATTGATTCTTTGTCAAAGAAACCTGCTAAGTTCACATTCATTTTTGTGATATTTCCTCATCATTAATTAACCTCTTGGCTAAAACTTTCTAGTGTCCTAAACTAGAAAACTATAAATTGCAACCTATAGCTCCTCATAAAGGATAACTTGTTTGTGTGTTGATATTTTTAGATGTACCTTTTTTGTGTGCATCCTCTGCTTTCTCATGTTCTAGCAATGATGTTGTCTGTCCTATTCCATCAAATACCTGTTTCCTCTATAACTCAGAGAAAGCTTCCTCACCTTCAAACTCTTCCCTCATTTTCTCATGGAGACCGTTCGTAATTTTGAGACTAGGTTGTGTCCTCATATTTAGTGATTCATAGTAATTGTTTCTCCCTGGCATAATTTTTTTAAGTGTCTTATTCATGCTTCATTTTACTGAGTGTAGTATATCCCACATGAAATCCTTACTGCAGCCTGTGAGACCAGCTCTCAGGACTGCACCCCAGTTGCAGAAAAGAATGTCTTTAGAGCAGCAGTATCACAGAAAAATTTTCTGTCTATCTGAAGGTAAAAGACTGACATACATAATCTGATGGTCAGCCCTTTATTCTTTCCAGCTCTTGTTCTCCTGTTGCAATTCCCTCTAGCTTCTTTGTTCACCTACTTATACACAGACACACACACACGTACACGTTCAATAACAACCTTTTTCAGTATAAAAGGTTACAAATGCTACTGCATCTGGATTGAGTAACCTTGGCAACCTGGGTCTCAGGCTGTGACCTGAGGCAAGGGCCTACATAATTCCCAGTGAGACAAGCTGCTGAAGAATTTTGCGCAGGGAGTGGGTCTTTTTTCTGGTTTTGTTTTTGTTTTTCGAGACAGGGTTTCTCTGTAGCTTTGGAGCCTGTCCTGAAACTAGGTATTGTAGACCAGGCTGGCCTTGGACTCACAAAGATCCACCTGCCTCTGCCTCCTAGGTGCTGGGATTAAAGGCGTGTGCCAGCACTACCTGGCAGGAGTAGGTCTATTATCAGCCACACTTGGCAAGAGAAACACATAGTATTTTAGGTTGCTGTGTACTAATAACCTTGGTTTAGACACCTGTGACTCTGGTCCTTGTGCATATCTGTAAAGTCTTTCAGAGACACTCAGTCTAGTTTGAAAATGTTCTGAGGTCTTAAATCAGTTAAATGTATGTAGCTTGTCTTAGACTGGGGAGAAATTGTTGTTTTCTTATGTTAGTCTGAGTAAAGAAACAAAACAGGCTTCTAAGTGTCTTACAGTCCTTAACAATAAATAGATCTATTTATGAAGCATATACTGGTATATTTCTGACATATTTTATATATATATATATATATATATATACTGACATATTTACAATATGTCATAATTGTACAGTTTAATGAAAAGTCATCTTCTTGACCATCCACATCTATATGTGTGCCCAGGAGATGGAGTATTTTCATGAGAAAAAATGCATAAACAGTTTGAAAAAAATCCCTTAGCTGTTTTTCCATCTTGTTGCTGTGTTTTATTCAAGTCTTTAGATTTCCCTTAGTATTATTTTGAAATTGTTCCTTTTTATTTCATCTACCACTGGTTTAAATTCTACATCTAGACTTTAAATGTTCTTAATTTTTTTCCACACTGGAAATTAAACCTCAATTTTATTTTGTTTTTATTGTGTGTGGACATGTGTGTGTCATGTTCTTTCTCTCTATATCTCCTACTTCCCCTCCTCCCGTGTATGTGTGTAGGTTAGAAAATAACTTGTAGGAGTCAGTTCTTCCCACCATGTGGGTCTCGGGGATTGAATTTAAGCCATGAGGCTTGGCAGCAAGTGCCTTTACGTGTGAACCATCACATCAGTACTCTACTTCCTACCCTTTAAGGGGTATCTCATACCAAAATCAGATTTGAGGCTTTCCATGCTGTATTCACTTATCATCCTATTAGGTAGCTTGGGCAATACGTTTTTGTTATTCTGAGTATTGATTTTCGTATCCTGACTTTGGAAATCCTTTTTATTCCTGAAGATTCCATTAAAATGCCGTTTGTTCTATGAATGGCTCCATGATCATCAGTTAGAAAGCAGCCTCTTAAAAAACAATGTTTTACATGACTATAAAATTTGTTAGTTTACTGCTTTGTGCAATAATCTTTGGAAGTTTTCTAGACTCTTAACAACCATACCTTAGTATTTCACTCATTTGCTATAGTAAAAAAATAATTAAAACAGCTTTATCTTTTGTGTTTCAGTTAACCTTTGTTCTAATCCTGAGGACAAGCTTCAGATCTATAGGGATAATTTTGAGAAGGCATACTTGGACTCAACAGAGCGATTTTATAGAACACAGGCACCCTCGTATTTACAGCAAAATGGTGTGCAGAATTACATGAAATATGTAAGTCAGAATTACATAGTGCATTTTATAGTTCTAGATAGTTTCCTGATATTCTTAAAATGATTGCTATTTTGCTTTTGGACAGGCAGATGCTAAATTAAAAGAAGAAGAAAAAAGAGCACTCCGTTACTTAGAAACAAGACGAGAATGTAACTCTGTTGAAGCAGTAAGTATTCAACTCTGCTGCATCAGTAAGCAATTGGTTTCCTTCTGGTGTAGCACAGGGGTGGCAAATGCAAACACTAAAATGACATCTCTTTTGTTATTTTCAAACTTATTTCATATGTTTGAGTGGTTTGCATTTGTGTATGTGCACTGTATATATGGTACCTGTGGAGGTCAGATGGGGTCGCGGGTCCCTGGAACTGGTACTGGGAACCAAGCCTTAAATCTCAGGAAGAGCAGACAGTGCTCATAGCCATCTCTCAGCTTCCCACACTTCTCTGTTATATCTTTAACTCGTATTGATAATTGGTTATAATGTTCTTCTCCCTTGAAAAATACATCTGCAATGGTATCTTATTCTGAACTTTCTAGTCTTCACTATATGCAATGTACAGTATTTTAACTTTTTAAACTTTTTTTTGTTTTTTGTTTTGTTTTGTTATTCGAGACAGGGTTTCCCTGTGTAACATTCCTAGCTGTCCTGGAACTAGCTCTTGTAGACCAGGCTGGCTTCGAACACTGGGATTCACTTGCCTCTGCCTCCCGAGTGCTGGGATTAAAGGTGTGCGCCATGACTGCCCGTCTGGTATTCAATCTTTATCATGCTCTTTAAGTATATTTAAAAGTCAATGAGATTTTACTCATGACCTTTTTTTTTTTAATTCTTCAATCTTGTGATTATTATTCTTGGAACAAACATCACACTAAGTAGAATCTTTCACCCTGTTTTTTCTTGGAGAAGGCTATATGGATTTTGGTAGTTAAAGTAATTTTGATCCAAAGAAAAGGTGAAAAGTTGAGCTAATTTAGTGGTTGTTTAATACAAGTTTAATAGAAACTTGTAGCCAGGCTTGGGCTTATCCAGAAGTCACGCCATTGTATATTTTTTTAAAGATTTATTTATTTATTTATTATGTATGCAGTATTCTGTCTGTCTGTGTGCTTGCTGGCCAGAAGAGGGCACCAAATCTCATTACAGATGGCTGTGAACCACCATGTGGTTGCTGGGAATTGAACTCAGGACCTCTGGAAGAGCAGTCAGTGCTCTTAACTTCTGAGCCATCTCTCCAGCCCGCCATTGTATATTTTTAAACAGGTATGCCTTGGTCAAAATTATCCCTCATGGCCTGGTGAGTACAGTGCTTGCTATGCAAGTGAGTTGTGCTGTTATAGAACAACCAAGTCTAAAACATTTGAAAAATAAAAAATTGCCAGCAAAAGGACTTATTAGTGGAAAATGAAAATCTCCTGACCTGAGTTCATTTTCCAAAATCCATGTAAAATGCGAGGTTCAGTGCGACACATCTGTAATTCCCCCACTCCTAAGACAAAGATGGGAGATAGGCTGGAGAGTGGCTGGGAAGCTTTGCCTGGAGTGCAGTGCATGGGCACAGAAACTAGAGAGACTAGAGAGACTATACCTCCTCAAGGTAGAAGAGCTGTCTTCTGAAAATTGTCCTCTGATCTTCACACATATTATGACATTGACACACACAGAGACACAACTGTAAATAAAAATTTATTGCATAGCCAATTTCACTGTGATTCATAAATTATTAAATACACCTTAACCTTCAGTATTTGAGTATGTCAAAGCCCTGGGTTTGTTGAGCATGGTGGTGCACGCCTTTAATCCCAGCTGGGAGGCAGAAGTAGGAGAATCTCTTGTGAGTTTGAGGTCAGCCTGGTCTACAGAGTGACAGGACAGGCAGGGATACACAGAGAAACCCTGTCTCAAAAGAAGAAAAGATGTTGGGTTTGATCCCTATCAGCCAAAATCCCTACACCATACCTGAATGTACTCTTTTAGGACATTTTAAAAAGTCATAGTCTTTAAGTGTGTCTACATTTTACATACCAATCCCAGTCCCCACTCCCTCCTCTCCTCCCATTTCTTCCACTTTCACCCCCTCCTAGCCCCCCATTCACTCCTCAGAGAGGGTAAGGCACATTACTTTGGGGAAGGTCAAGGTCCTCCGTACTATATCTAGGCTGAGCAAGATATCCATCCAAAGAGAATGGGTTCCCAACAAGCCAGTACAAGCAGTAGGGATTAATCCTGGTACCACTGCCAGTGGCCCTGCAGTCTGTCCCAGCCATTCAACTGTCACCCACATTCAGAGGGTTTACTTTGGACCCATGCTTGTTCCTTTCCTGTCTGGCTGGAGTTGGTGAGCTCCCTTTAGTTCAGGTAAACTGTTTCAGTGGGTGTCCCCATCATAGTCTTGACCTCTTATGGCAAAATATTCTTTTTTTTTTTAAAGATTTATTTATTTATGTATACAACATTCCTTCCATGTATGCTTGCATGCCAGAAGAGTGCGCCAGATCTCATTATAGATGGTTGTGAGTCACCATGTGGTTGCTGGGAATTGAACTCAGGACCTCTGGAAGAGCAGTCAGTGCTCTAAACCTCTGAGCTATCTCTCCAGCCCCAGGCAAAATATTCTTACACATTAAATAAATCACTGATGCTTTACCTCTTCATTTTAGAACCATTTATTTAATCCCAGCACTTGGAAGTCAGAGGCAGGTGGATCTCTGTATCATATCAGCCTGGTCTACACAGTAAGTTCCAGGACAGCTAAGGCTACATATACCTATGTCAAAAAAAAATTTCCTATTCTTTATTCAAAGCCCTTCAGAATTTGGCCTTTGCCTATACTTTATACTTAATATTTTTCAAAGTAGCTGGACAGAGTGGCAAACACTTGAAGCATGAGTTCAAGGACGAACTTGGAATGTATGGATAGATCTGATTAGTAATTAGTAATATTCAGCAAGTGTCATTCAGATCCAGTAAGGAATGTTTGTTCTTTTTGTAATTTGTCTTACTTATTTTTTTTCTTGGATTCATGTTAGTAATCTTTTATATATATTTATGTATACATATACATATATGTGTGTGTATGTATACACACATGCATATATATCCATATTTTTATGTATCCACATTAATCTATATGTGTATACATAGGTATACACACATACATATAAGTCTGGAGGACTTCTGACTGTTCTTCCTGAGGAACCAAGTTCAATTCCCAGTACTCACATGTCAACTTACTACCTTCAGTTCCAGAGGATCTAATGCCTTTTTCTGAACTCCATGTGTACCAGGCATGGGAGTGGTGCACAGATGTATATGCAAATAAAACACCCATGTACATAAAGGTATAGAAACGATACTTGTTAGGAACATTTGAATGTTTCAGACTAGAAACTGCTTCAACAGTTTCTGAAACTGATTCCTTTCATTGAGATAGGTACAAAATTCTGTGCAGTTGTTTTTTTTTTTTAAATCTGACCTCTAATCCATGTTTTTAAAATATATATATTTACATACACTATATATTTATATATGTAAGTATCTTAGTATATATGTTTATGCATATGTATGTTTATAATTTATTTGTATCATATTTGTAATAAAAGTTACAAGGTGTGATTTTTTTTGTGGTTGCTTTATTTATCATCCGCTATTCTATGGCATTCTTGGTTTTGGAGATGAGATGTTTCACTGATTGGCCTGAACTCACAGAGACCACAGACCTCAGCTTCCCAAGTGCTGGGATTTAAGATGTTTACCATTATACCTGAATGTACTGTGTTAGGACATTTTACAAAGTCATAGCCTTTAAGCCTGTCGACATTTTGAAACATAATAAGTTATATTTTTAGAACCTGAAAATTCTGGATTGCCAGTAACAACATGTTTATGTGCAAATTTTTTAATTAGAAAATATTTAGGTAGCTGGGGGTTAAACTTATTTAAATTGAACTGTTTGTGAAATCTAGAGATTTTGTTTTTCTTTTAGTTCTATATGATTAAACTTACCTGGTTTTAATCGGATGTCATTGGGATAGGTAAGTGTTGAGTAGAAAGATGGTTCAGCAGTTAAGAGCACTGATTCTTGCAGTTCAGTCCCCAGTGACATCTTGGGTGGCTCATAAACATCTGTAATTCCAGTTCCAGAGGACTCAGTGCCCTCTTCTGACCTTCACTAGCACCAACCGTGGATGCAGTGTATGCACATACATGCAGGAAAAACACTCATACATGTAGCATAAAATTAATTAATCTTTTAAGAGTAGGATGCTGAGTGAGCATACTCAGGTCCTATGATATAGTGACACATGACTCAGCAGTTTGGGCAGAGCTTCCCGCCATGTGGGGTAAGATGTTGTTAATTATGTGTGTATTGTTTTTGAATGCTAGAAATGAAATAGGCAGTCCTTAGTGTAGGTAAGAGACTTAACACAGAAGCTTTTTTAATTAGAGAGTCTGTAAGAAGTAGAAAGAATGGTTTGTGTTTTATTTGTTGAAATAGTCTCTGCTATCTTGCCTCAACTGTCTGGAATTCAAGGGCCTCCTACTTAAACCTCTCTGTGCTTGGGCCACAGTAAATTCCTTTTACCTAATTCATATTCAGTGGTTATCAATATTATGTCAATTCTATGGGGAATTTTGGACAGAATAATTTTTAAGATACACATAATAATTTCCTGCTTAATACAGGTAATGATCTGTTTAAGTTTTTCAAAAGAGATATATTAGCCTTAGTGTATTTTGTTTCTTTGCTCATAATTTTTATTTGATTGTGATAGGGTCTCTGTAGCTGAGGGTAGGCTAGAACTCAGTGTTCTCCTGCTCAAGCATCTTGAGTGCTGGAATCACACATCACATCTTACTTTATTTGGTCCTTATGTGAGTAAATTTTTTCTTGGCAGTGAGAAAGCAGGGATGGTGTAAATTGTCTGCCCCTGTAAGGAGATTTTCCTAATGGTCTTCTATAAACCATGACCTTTGCCTTTTCCCTGATTTTTTTTTCAACAGCTTCTTTCACCAACCTTTCTGCCACCCTGCATTTCCAGCTGAATGCAATTACATTGATCTTTAGTGGTCACTTGAAAGGAAGAGACTCTTGTTTAAAATTTCTCATTTTTCCTTCCTAGTTATGTCAAAACCATAAACTATAGATTTTTCTTTCTGTCTTAACATCACTTTTCTACTTCCTCTCTTTACTGTGTCTACTTTATTATCTCTAGAAGGTATAGTATATTTTAGGACTACTTATTTTTCAAAATCCAGTTTAAGTCTAGGGCTGGGTATGGTTGTACACACTTATTTTTGATCCTAGCACTTAAGGTCATGTGGATCTCCGTGAGTTCCAGGCCAGCCAGATTTGCACAATCAGACCCTTTCTCAAAAGTAAATAACAAAGGGTTGGTCATGTATAGCTCAGTGATAGAACACTTGCCTAACTTGAGAAGCCTTGGGTTTTATCTCCAGCACCAGGGATAAGGGTGTCGGGTGTGGGTGTTTTGTCTGTATGCTTGTGTGTGTACCGTGTGTACAGTGATCCCAGAAGAAGGTATTCTGGGATTAGAGTCACAGACTTTTGTAGCCCCTGTGTGCGTGCTGGGATTTGAACCCAGGTCCTCAGCAACAGTAACAAGTATCTTTTTAACTGTTGAGCCATCTCTCCACCCCAGGGGGAAAATATGATTCAGAAGTCATCTTAGCAGATGACTACTTTAACTCCTCCTCTACCTCTTAATTAGTTACTCTCTTCCAGGATAGGCGCCAGCTGTGTCTTGTCCAGTGCTCAGCATTACACAGTGGTTTGTAGAATGTATTATTAGTTTTTGAATTATATGGAGTATTAGGATTCTAATAAATTTCATTAGCTAGTAGGAGTTCACCCTTTCAATTTTTGTATATTTTTTAGTTTTATTTATTTATTTATTTTGAATTATATTTTCAAGAGAAACTCAGTTCTATAGTTTTACTTTAAAGTAGTGTGGTTTATTTATTCATCCATATGTTAACAGTAAACCTGCATCAAGGTAGGTATACTTTCAGTGTACTTTCTTTTTCTTACTGCTGAACCAGTATGATTGGACTTGTAAGTATTCTGTAAAGGTTATTATTAACTGTTCATTGTTTTTGCTGTTTTTCAGCTCATGGAATGCTGTGTAAATGCTCTGGTGACCTCATTTAAAGAGACTATTTTAGCAGAATGCCAGGGCATGATCAAACGAAATGAAACTGAAAGTAGGTAAAATCTCACGTCCAGACATAACCTCTTAAGAGAGTATCTTAAGCAAATCGCCTAATTAATTGCTGTTGGGTCGTTCTTAGAGACTGGGATGAATTTCCTCCTGAATATACTAACACTTATTTGTTTCAGGAGGCTTTTGTCTTTTTCCTTTAAGGTAAACTGTGCTTTTAAAGGCTAGTATAAGTTGTAGAAATGCAGTATAGACTAGACTTGAGCTGCCAGGCACACGGCTTTAATCTTAGCATTTGGGAGGCAGAGGCAGGTGAATCTCTGATTCAAGGCCAGCCTGGTCTACAAAGCAAGTTCCAGGACAGCCAGAACTGTTACACAGAGGAACCCTATTTCACACCCCCATACCCACTCTGCAACTGAATATTTGACTTTTGTGTAGAAGTTTGGCTTGATGACCAGATTTCAGCCTCCAGAGCCAGATGATGGAAGGAAAGAACTGACTCCCACAAGCCGTCATCTGACTTTCACGTGTTTAGGTTTCATTCAGGCATGTATGCATGTGCGCGCACACACACACACACACACACACACACACACACACACACACTCTTAATGTTCTGTGTTAACAATGTTTATCCTGCTGAGAGGTGGTGGCACATGCCTTTAATCTTAGATCTCTGAGTTCGAGGCCAGCCTGGTCTACAGAGTGAGTTCCAGGACAGCCAGGGATACACAGAGAAACCCCGTCTTGAACCCCCCAAAGAAACCGCCCCACAAATCCAAAAAACTGTTTATTTTCCACACAAAATTTAACGTTTTCTTAATTATGTTGTGTTTTGGGAAGTAGCAGGTATATATAAACATGAAAATAATTATTCAGCTTTACCACCTTGAACAAAACCACATTAAAATTTCTGTGTACTGTCCAGATTGTCCTGTGTCTGTGTCTGGAGTCCAATGCGTAGCTACTCTTAAAGGTTGTATTTCAACTCACTCCAGTTCAGAACCCATTGAGTCTGGGTCCCATGTGGCTAGGCAAGGCCAGGACTGCCATGCAGCTGGGAGTGACTGTGAGCGCTGGGTACATCCGGTCCATACTGAGTTCTGTGACACAGTTCCTTTTGTGATCAGCACTGTGAAGTAAGGCTGTGTGAATGTCAGTTCAGTGCTTCGTAAATTTTATAGATAACAGTTTTATGTTAACTCTAATAGAAAATTACATAATTCTTGTTTTTAGTCCTTTTAACATTACACTTGCTTTATGAATAGTAGACTTATGTGTAAATTTATGTTCTCTCTCTCTCTCTCTCTCTCTCTCTCTCAAGATATATGTTCTTATTTTGTAGTACCTCAGGCTACCCCAGAACTTTCTTTAGCCTAGAGTGTCCATAAAATACCAGTCCTGTCTGCCTCTACACCCAGCATCATTTTGTTTTTGAAAAAAAAAAAATTTTTTTTTTCATCTTTTTTGGAGGTCTACTCAGGTTGCCTTGGCTGTAAAAGATCGCTTTTAATTAGATTCTTAAAAGAAAATTACGTTCTTTTAAACAAATTATAGCACAGGATACTTAATAGTATATTTTAAACTCCAAAGTAGCATTTCTACAGGATCTTGTTACTGAAGCCATAGCTGTGTGTAGTACCGCACACATTGGGAGGCATCATCAGTAGGAAGATTTCTGTGAGTCTTTGAGGTACAACCTGTACTACATAGTAACAGCCAGGGTTACCTAGTGACCCCGGCACAAAACAAAAGTCAAGAAAGAAATTTAATTTAATGTATAAAGTAATTATATGAGTGTGTTGTGGTTTTTTTTTCAGAGTTACATTTGATGTTTTCATTAATGGACAAAGTTCCTAATGGAATAGACCCAATGTTGAAGGATTTGGAGGAGCACATCATTAGTGCTGGCCTAGCAGACATGGTGGCAGCTGCCGAAACCATCACTACTGTAAGTTCCTTAGATGGCAGGAGTCGCGTGTATCCAGCATCACGTCTAAAGTTGTGATTGAAACAGCAAAACAGTCATTTGGAATATTTTTCAGTTTTACTTTTAAGAAAAGAAATCTTCCCAATTTTAAATTAAAGCCTTAGTCTTTTTTAGAATAGTACTTTGTTGTTTCGTATATTTTCCCCTTTAAAAGCTGAAATGCAAAACTTTTTTTCCAGGACTCTGAGAAGTACGTGGAGCAGTTGCTTACTCTTTTTAATAGATTCAGCAAACTTGTCAAAGAAGCTTTTCAAGATGATCCTCGTTTCCTTACTGCAAGAGATAAGGTAGTGTTTCTCTGAGGACCTTTGTGTAAAAGTTCACTGTCACTAAAGTTGGCTCTATGAGCAGTGTCATCATGTTGCTGAGCTGAGAACTAAGAGTGTGGGCAGCGACTCATGTTCAGCAGTTTATTACATCCCGGTCAGTCTTCCTCCCAGTAAGCTGCAGGTACTTGTGAGCTGGGGTCCAGTAAGCTGCTCCCTCCTTAGATTTTCATGAGCGTTGCCCCTTTGTCTTGAAGATTTCTGATATTTGAATTTTTATTCATCCTTTTAAGACCTTCCCTGCTCTACACCACTGTTCTCCATCCCTCATCCCAAGCAGAGTTATTTATTTTGAGGGGGAGTGAGGTTGTGCATGCCAAGCCACATGTGAGTAGAAAATCAACAGACAACTTCCCAGAGATGTTTTTCTCAAAATGAGGGAGGACATCAGGGTCAGCAGCTGCCTTTACCTGTGGGCCCCTCTGTGGCACACAGTTGATGCTTCCATCCTCCATCCTTGGAGCTCTTGGAGTGGCTTTCAGAATTGTCTTTGCCATGGGAGCATTCTCAGTGAAATGGGAGTTTAAAGAAGCACTGAGTCACTTAGATGGATGTGCTAGTAGAAATAAAAGAGCATGTACTGAATTTTGCAGCCTTCATCCAATTCCAGCGTGCACATACAAAACCTGAGAAAACATCTGATTCATGTTAATTTGTTTCTTTGTATATTTTAAATATTAAATGTCATTCTATTTCAAATTGGGTTCTTTTTACAGGCATATAAAGCAGTTGTTAATGATGCTACCATATTTAAACTTGAATTACCTTTGAAGCAGAAAGGGTAAGCTTCTACACTCTTTTTAAAAAATAATTCTTTGGGAGACATATTACTGGGGTGCTGGGTGATCAAGGTGCCTTGTTTTCCTGGTAAGTTTGGGCTTTTCTTAGGTTTGCTTTTAAGTTCTAATTGTTGGTATTATTTTTTATTGAGACAAGGTCTGTGGCCCAGGATGCTCTCAAACCCCCTGTGTAGCCAAGGAGGAGATTAAAAGACTGCTAATCTTTCTGTCTCTTCTCCTGAGTGCTAGGATTACAGATTCAGGGCACCTAGCCTGGTTTATTCTGTGCTGAGAATTGAACCAAGGGCTTTTCATATGCTAAATATTCTACCAACTGAGCTACATCCTTTGACCTTAGATTTACAGCTGTTTATGAGTCACTATGTGTGCACTCACAATCAATCTTTTGGAAGAGTAGCCATCGCTCCTAACCACTGAACCACCTCTGAGCTCAGTAACCTTTTTAGTTTTTGAATTTATTTGTTTCACTGTATAACCCTGGTTGACCTGATCTTACTATATAGATCAAGCTGGTCTGGCTGCAGAAAGCCTCATTGTTCTACCAGCGCTAAGATTAAAGGCCTGGGCCACCTCACCTGGCTTTCTTCAAAGAAAGTTTGCCTACAGAGACCCTTGTTTCCAGCCTTGAAGTGCTTTCTGTGTTTTTTTTTTCTTGCTCGGTTTGGTTTTTGTTGTTGTTCTTAGAATATTTGCTACCTGTTGCTATTAGAACTCTTTTTACCAAAATAATTGAATGTTTTGGGTGTTGGAAATAACATTTTGTTCAGAGTCTTTAGAATCTCTGTTTTCCCTTTATTACCAAAGTGTTTTACCATAATGATATAAAAGGGGAAGTGAATTTTAATGTAAATTTTGAATTTTGAATCTCCTTGGTAAAGCATATGTCTACCAAATAGGTAGCCCTGGGTTTGACCTCCAGCTCAGAGGGAAGTGGGCAGGTGAATTAGTAAGAGAATGCACACACCATGAAGGCAGAGCCTGGAAACAAGCTAGAGAAGGGAGGGATAAGCCAGAGCAGGGGTGGGGATGGGCCAAAGTGTAATGGCACACATGCACAAAATGTCAGGGTGAAGCCTGTTTGTAGACGGTTAAACTGGTGAAGATATTGGCTGCCAAGTCAGATAATCTGGGTTCAATCCCCGAATCACACATGCTAGGTGACAGTTGACTTCTGCAAATTCTCCTCTGATTTTCACATACCGCCCCACATAAATAGATTAATTAAATAAGTAAAAGAAACCCATTACTTTCTATAGTAACTTAAATTTTTAATTTTAATTTAAAAAGAAAATAAATCACAGAACAGTTGTGGTATATGCCTTTAATCCCAGCACTAGGGAGGCAGAGATGGGCAGATCTCTGAGAATGGGGGCCAGCCTGGTCTAACAGAGTGAGTTCCAGGACTAAAAGGAGCTGTGGACTGTGTCCTGCCACCTAGCTCCCGGCTAGCTTTATCCAAAATAATTACACGGAAACTATTTATTTAAACACTGCCTGGCCCATTATCTATAGCATCTTTTTGGCTAACTCTCACATCTTGCTTTAACTCATATTTAGTAATCTGTGTAGCACCACGAGGTGGTGGCTTACCGGGAAATATTCAGCATGTCTGACCTGGGGGCTAGCTGCATGGCATCTGCCTCATTGCCTTCTTCCTCCCAGAATTCTGTTCTGTCTACTCCACCTATTTAACCTGCTGTCCTATCAAAAGCCAAGGCAGTTTCCTTATTAACCAATGAAAGCAACACATAGACAGTTAGCCCTCCTCCATCACAGGACAGCCAGGGATACACAGTCAAAGCCTGTTTTGAAAACAAAACAACAATAACAGCAAAACTATTTCTTGTTGGTAAAGTGAATTGGTTCATACTAAGTAAAAATGAGAGAAAAATGGAAACTTGGAATTTGGACTTATCTGACCTCGACACAACATCTAGTAGTTCTAAGTCTTGCCAGTTACTGGATAGAATCCACTACAGTTCATAGCTAAAAACTAGCATTTCATTGCAATGTTGGTGTGTGGTCTGTTTCTTTAATTCCTGAGGGTACAGGATCTTGAGTTTGAGGCCAATCTAGACTTTATAGATCCTGTCTGAAAAATAAAGTAAGAAAAAAAAGTAATTGAAAAGGAAAAAGGCTTTATTGTGTCAGGTCAGTCCATCATGGCAGGGAGGGTATAACAATAGCTTGCATGGAGGCAGGAGGAAACATTGGGGTACTACCAGGAGAGGGTCAGGGAAGAGACAGCTGTCTGGACACCCACCAACCTGCTGCCCTACTCTCTCTAGCGGGGCCACCTAGCAACAACCTCTGAGACTTCACATCTGAGTTCATACCAGAGACTGGAAAAAGTCTCACAGATAAATCCAGCAGGTGCTTTACTAACAGGTGTTTCTCCGTGAAATCACATTGCCAACCAATATTAATTTACCATGCAGAATAAACCTGTAGTAGCATCCAGATTATATAGGACACTCATCTGTGAGGAGGAATGAAGTGCTTGATGGTAGGCCTAAGCGTCTGCTGAGAAGAGCTGAAATAATCAGATAAATGCTGGGAGAGCAGTTCTGATACTACAGAGCTACAGAAACAGACCAAGGAGCTTCCAGGGTCTCAATTTCCCCGCTTTACAAGAAATCTTGGTTGCCATAGGGCAATAGAGCTTTTGGTGATCATGCTAGCTTAGAGTGAAAGGGTTTCTCTATGTAGCCCTAGCTGTCCTGGTGCTCTCTCTGTAGACTAGGCTGATCTTGTACTCAGAGTTTTACCTGCCTCTGCCTCCCAAGTGCTGGAATTAAAGGTGTGCGCCACCACCGTCTGCCTGCCATTCCTTAAATGTAGTGTAAACCAGTTGAAGGCCGATTCTTAGCACAACTGCAGCATAGTTTGAATCAGCTCAGTTTATACTTTGATTACAGTGATCAGCTCTTCCCATGCAGACCAAAGGGTGAACCCACTGTTAACATATAGCCTGTTTGTGTCTTCACGGTGCCCATTGACAGCTCATCACCAGTGCTTTGGAGATGAAGAAAAATCATCTTAGAAGCAGATGCTCAGCTGATCGTAATATTGTAGTAAAGAAAAACTGCTTTTGTGTTTTAGAGTGGGGTTGAAAACTCAGCCAGAATCGAAGTGTCCTGAGTTGCTTGCCAATTACTGTGACATGTTGTTAAGGAAAACACCATTAAGCAAAAAACTAACCTCTGAGGAGATTGAAGCAAAACTTAAAGAAGTGGTAAGTATATTTTTTTTATGTTGTTATATAAACAGTGCATGTTTTTTGCCTGCAGGCCAGAAGAGGTCACCATATCTTATTATAGATGGTTGTGAGCCACCACGTGGTTGCTAAAAGTTGAACTCGACCTTTGGGAGAGCAGTCAGTGCTCTTAACCTCTGAGCCATCTCTCCAGCCACAGAAGTGATGTTTTTTTAATCAATTTTTTTTAAATCATTAAAGACTTATTTCCTGTAAGGAGAAACTATTGTATCAAAATCAATGTTCTACTCCAACAAAGTACGGAGATGTTATATGGGGATCTATATAAATTCATCTAGGAAAACACGTCAAGGTAAGACATATAGTCCTGAGCACGTTCAGGAAGTCTAACCAGGAAAGAAATATAGCAGGCATGCTTTGGGGCATACTTAGCCAAGGCATGAAGCATGTGTTTGAAGGATTAAAATGAGACATAGGAATGCTTGGGACCTGTTCAGCTTCTGTCTTTAGAATGCCACACAGGAATGGGCATGACTGTGTTTCTCTAGAAGTCTGAGCTGTGCCAGTAAGGAGAGCATGAGGATTCTTTCCCAAGGCAGCGTTGTCCTCCTCTGAAGGAAGAAATAGATATTTTGCTATATTTTATGTTCTTAAATAAACTAACTTAACTTTGGTTCAATGGATTTAGAAGTGCTTGCTGTGTGAGCATGAGGACCTGAATTTGGAACCTCAACACTCAAGTAAAAAAGCCAAAAGCTGAGGGGATGGAGAGATGGCTTAGTCGTTAAGAGCATTGACTGCTCTGCCAAAGGACCTGGATTCAATTCCTAGCTTCCACATGGCAGCTTACAGATGTCTGTGACTCCAGTTTCCAGGGGACTGGACACCCATGGCAAAACACCAATGTACATAAAGTAAATATAAAATACAATTAAAGCAAAAAGCTGATTGTGGAGATTAGCAATTGTAACCCAGCACTGGGGGTAAGCGTTCGGCATAAAACAGGTGGATTCTGACTAGCCTTGTTGAGTCCGTGAGCTCTCGGTTCAGTGAAAAACTCTGTCTCAGAAAATAAGAGGGGCTGGAGAGATGGCTCAGTAGTAAAGAGCACTGGCTGCTCTTGCAGAGGACCAGGTTTTCAGCCATCTGTAACTCTAGTTCTAAAAGATCTAATATCCTCTTCAGGCCTCCACAGGCACTGTATGCCTGTGGTACATACAGGAACACCCATACACAGAAAATAAATTTAAATAAATTTTAGAAAAGTGCAGAGAAATAGTGGAAAGTTCTAGGTGCCAGATGTCAACCTATGGCCTCCATATCACTCACATGTGAATATAATACAAATAGATATGTATCTGTAAACATTATAAAGTTTTACAGTGTTACACTTTCATAAGGTATTTAGTTGGACCTAAAAGTTTTTGTTCAATAGCTTCCTGAAAATACCATTTATTGTGTGTTCATATCCTTTCCCAAGTGTGGGCTCTTGCCTATGTATGATGTTGGAGATTCAGGTGAGCCTGTATGTGTTAGACAGATGCTATACCATTCAGTTATATCTCCAGCCTTGTGCTTTTTAAAAATGGTTCTCTCTGATGTAGGTGGTTTACCTTAAGCTCATTATCAGCCTGCCTCTGCCTCCTGGCTTCTGTCTTGATGCAGTAGGTGATATTTTTCCCCCAAAGACAGGGTTTCTCTGCAGCATTAGAACCTGTCCTGGAACTCGCTCTGTAGACAGACTGGCCTCGAACTCCCAGATATCTGCCTGTCTCTGCCTCTCTAGTGCTTGGACTAAAGGCGTGCACCACCTGGCGCATTAGGTGATTATTAAAGTCTGTTTCTGTTCAAGAACAAAAAAGCAGGGGCTGGAGAGATGGCTCAGAGGCTAAGAGCATTGCCTGCTCTTCCAAAGGTCCTGAGTTCAATTCCCAGCAACCATATGGTGGCTCACAACCATCTGTAATGAGGTCTGGTGCCCTCTTCTGGCCATAGAAGGAATGCTGTATACATAATAAATAAATAAGTTTATAAAAAAAAAAAAGAACAAAAAAGCAAGTGAAGCTTTTCACTCCTTTCTGTGAGAGCCTAAGATAGATGGGGACAGGTGAGAGTGTATGAAAGTTAGTTGTTGTTGTCATTGTTGGGGTCCTCCTCGTTGTTTGTGAGTAAAATGATTGCCCAGCAGTGCAGAGGTGGGATCAGACAGAAAGGCCTAGAAAGATGATTGGTATCACTAAAGAAGAGAATAAGATGGGTTGAGACATAACTGCCTGTTTTCCCATAACATATTCTTATCATGTATATATAAAATCTGAAAAACTTAGTAGTAGGAACTAAAAGATTAATTGGTTAAAGTCTGAAATATACATCCAGGCATGTAGCAGGGCGAGGCAGGTGGACCTCTGAGTTTGAGCCTAGCTTAGTCTACAGAGTGAGTTACTGGACATCAGGACTACATAGAGAGAACCTGTCTTGTCTTAAAAGTTTCAAATTTGTTAACTTTGTATTATGGGAGATGTGTAAGTTAATAGGCTTCTGTTTATGTATTTGTAAATCTCCACATCTTGGCTATTGGGGAACACAGGAAGGTCTACATGACACAAATGGCTGAGAACATAAGAATTTAAAATAACTTTGTCTTTTGTCCAGCTCTTGGTACTTAAATATGTACAAAATAAGGATGTCTTTATGAGGTATCATAAAGCTCATCTTACCCGACGTCTCATACTGGACATCTCTGCTGATAGTGAGATTGAAGAAAACATGGTGGAGTGGCTAAGAGTAAGTGCAACAATTTCTTCCCATTTTCTGGGGGTGGGTGGGGAGCAGGCACCAGAGGTAAAAGTATATGCTTGCAGGCGTCTGCTTTCTCTTTCTACCTTTGGGTCCCAGGGATTGAATCAGATGATCAGGCCCTTCTGAAAGCACCTTTGCCTGATTGGCCATCTCATTTGCCTAAAAGTAGTTATTTGATTTTTTTTGTTTTTGTTTTGTTTTTAATGTTTGTTTTTTTTAATATAATACATGATTTACATGCATAGTAAAATAATGAGTTTTGGTATCACTATTAGTATCAATTAGATTCATTTTATAAGAATATACGATCAAATATAATATTGATCTAAAAAGGTGATTTTTCTTAAGTTTTCTTTAAGTTTTGCTTTGTTTTTGCTGTTGAGCTTCCATTTGCACGCTCTATCAGTTTTAACTGACTTCATTTAACCAGTATCCAGGGTGAAATGACTCTTTTAACATGTCTTTGGTACTAGATACTTGGAACTATAGAAATATTTGTAAATAAATAGCAACCACTGTGTAGTGTGGCAGTGATGAGGCACACACCTTTAACCCCAGCGCCTGGCAGGCAGAAGCAGTCAGATCTCTTGTGAGTTTGAGGCCCACCTGGTTTACAAGAGCTGGTTCCAGGACAGGCTCCAAAGCTATAGAGAAACCCTGCCTTGAAAAAAATACCAATAAATAAATAAAATTGCAGCCTCTCTGATTTTTATAAAAGGCTGACACACATGCCTGTGTGTCAAGAAATGGAGGCTTAGAGGATCATTATCCTCTAGTCTATCAAAGCCATCCTCTGATAAATAGGGAGCTTGTTTGTGTTTCAGGTGATTGATGAAGTCTAGGCCCTTAGGATGCTATGACTCAGCTGTACTACGGTGTCCTTCTTTCAGTCTAGACCCCTAGGATGCCATGGCTCAGCTGTACTACGGTGTCCTTCTGTCAATCTTTGTCCTGCTTTTTTGATTGAGCAGTTAAAGGTGTCGTGCAGAGTTGAGCTGAGTTGGGAGCTGATTTTGTTCCATTGCAGTAACTGAGATCCATGCATCCTGGAATTTTACAAAGCAAAGACTATCTAAAACTATCCTGTAATAGGTATTACAGTATATTCTGATAAAGAGAAGAGAATGTTTTATTACAGCATCTAAGATAGGGACAAAACTCCCTTGCTTATTGTGCATTAGGCTCTGGATTCAGTCCCCAGAACCTCAAATAATAAACAAGATTTTCCTAAGTTTTTTCCCCTGTGGCTGGAGAGAGGACTCAGTGGTTAAGAGCACCAGCTGCTCCTCCAGAAGGCCCAGTTTCAATTCCCAGCACCCACATGGCAGCTCACAACTGTTTTAACTCCAGTTCCAGAGGATCTGACACCCTCACACAGACATATGCAGGCAAAACACCAATGCGCATAAAAAAAAATAAAGATTTATCAAGTGTGTGATAATTTGGAAAAAAAGAAAGAAAAAAGATTTTATAAGTTTTTTTCCTATTGCTATGTCAAATTATATAGTTATTGTCTTTCTGTCTTTGATTTCTGTAGGAAGTTGGTATGCCAGCAGATTATGTGAACAAGCTCGCCAGAATGTTTCAGGACATAAAAGTATCTGAAGACTTGAATCAAGCTTTTAAGGAAATGCACAAAAATAATAAGTTGGCATTACCAGGTATTATTTATAATGAAATGGAAGTGTGTTGTTAAGCTTAACAAAAGAGTATCCTTTTCAGTTATTTAAAGGCCAACCTGGTCCACAGAGTGGATTCCAGGACAGGCTTGGAAGCTTTACACAGAGAAACCCTGCCTCAAAAGAACAAAAAACAAATATTAATAATTTTTTATTAAGAAGGAGGGAGGGAGGGAAGGAGAGAGAAGGAGGGAGGGCTGGAGAGATGGCTCAGAGATTAAGAGCACTGTCTGTTTTTCCAGGGTCCTGAGTTCAATTCCCAGCACCCACATGGTGGCTCATAACCATCTGTAATGAGATTTAGTGTACTCTTCTGCTGCGCAGGCATATATGCAGGCAGAACACTGTATACATGATAAATAAATAAATATTTCTTCAAAAAAGAAAGAAAAGAGTAAATATCAAGATTTTTACAAAATCCATCTCAGAGCTGCTTGTCAAAATATGGTCTATGAATACTTATCTCAAAACAGAAAAAGGACCCTTTTAACAAAAGCTTCATTCTTATTTTTATTCTGTAAAATTTTACTTGTTAAGCCAAGCTGTGGTGACTTTATGTCTTTAATCCCCAGCATTGGGAGGCACAGGCAGGTGAATCTCGAGTTCGAGGCCAGCCTGGCCTACAAAGTGAGTTCCAGGGTAGTTGGGACTGTTATATAGAGAAACACTGTTTTGAAAACCAAAGCAAAATTTTTTTAACTTGTTAAAATATTTATAATTTCTGATTTTCTTACCTGCAGCTGATTCAGTTAATATAAAGATTCTGAATGCTGGTGCCTGGTCTAGAAGCTCTGAGAAAGTCTTTGTCTCACTTCCTACTGAACTGGAGGATTTGATACCTGAGGTAGAAGAATTTTACAAAAAAAATCATAGTGGTAGAAAATTACATTGGCATCATCTCATGTCAAATGGAATTGTAAGTATGGGTATCATTTGGGTGCTGGCAGGAGTTACCTAAGGGCTGGAGGGATGGCTCAATGGTCCAGTTCTCAGTGACTCCCAACTGTCTGGAACTCCAGTCCCAGAGAGCTGATGCCCTCTTTTGTCCTCTACGGATACTGCACATGTATGGCATGTAGGCATGTATACAAGCAAAATATACACATTTGCAAAACTAAAGTAATTTTTTTTTTTTTTTGTTTTTCAAGACAGGGTTTGTTTGTAGTTTTGGAGCCTGTCCTGGAACTAGCTCTTGTAGACCAGGCTGGTCTTGAACTCAGAGATCCGCCTGCCTCTGCCTCCCGAGTGCTGGGGTTAAAGGCGTGCGCCATCACTGCCTAGTAAAAGTAAATGTTGTTATAAAAGACAAAAAAAAAAATGTTAAGAACAAAAATAGTGGCTCTGTCCTTAGTTTTAGGTACACAGTTTTCAAGTTTTGGTGACTTGGGCTATAGAATCAATTTTTAAAAGGTTTATTTATGTATATGAGTGATATTTGCATGTATGCCTGTGAGATAGAAGAGAGCATCAGACAGTAGAGGGCATCAGATCCCATTATAGATGTTTGAGAGCCACCATGTGGGTGTTGGGAATTAAACCGGTGTCCTGGAAGGGCAGCCATTTCTCCAGCCCCTGACTGTAGAATTTTATCTGATTCCTAACTCTGTCAGCCTGCAAAAAGGAAGGGAAAGGAGGAGGTGAACATTGTTGTCAGTTTCTACTTCAAACAGATTGGACAGAATGAAGTCACATGACCTCATTGAAGCTGAGAGATGCATTAGAGGTCTTCTAAAACTAGGAAGGAAGAATGGGATTTGGAAGAAAATTAGCAACCTATTTTCCCCTAGTCTGTCATGTACATATTGCTAGATATTGGAGCAAGCTTCATGAACAAATTACTTATTAAAGCCTCATTATCTGTTACAGATAACATTTAAGAATGAAGTAGGTCAGTATGATTTGGAAGTAACCACATTTCAGTTGGCTGTGTTGTTTGCATGGAACCAAAGGCCCAGAGAGAAAATAAGCTTTGAAAATTTAAAGCTTGCAACGGAACTCCCTGATGCTGAACTCAGAAGGACTTTATGGGTTTGTCTGACCTTCTGTTTGTTGTGTCGTATAGTTGAGAATATGTGAATCACTTGTGTAACTGGAATTTTGGTGCTGAGCGTTAGATTCAGGGCCTTCCATACATTAGGCATGCATTCTGCCACTGAACTATAGACCTAAGCCATTGTAAAATAAATTTTGGGGGGAGGGTAATTTAGGGGTTTTTGAGACAGGGTTAGAAAGTACCTGAGAAAGAAAAGAGAGAGAGATTGAGTTACTTCATTTTGGTTGATTTGTTTTAGTTCTTCTTGATTATAATTGCATTTCGTGCTTACCCTATAATTCAAATTCCAGAATAAACTGTTTCCAGTGGAGGAAACTGCCTGAATATCCCTGGCAGACAGGGTTCTGTATGACCGACCAGTTTTTGTCTCACTACACATAGTAACAGAAGGTTTATTACATTCTAGAACCAAATCTTTTCTCTCCTCTTTTTATAATCCATTTACTTTGCATGCACATAAAGCTGTTACGTAAAAGTTTTGCAGGTTTGTCTAGATGTCATTGTTAACTGTATTGTAGAGTTGATTCTAGCAGTCCTTATAACTTACTATGCTAATTGTATTTTTTTCTCTTAGTCCTTAGTAGCTTTTCCCAAGCTCAAACGGCAAGTTTTGTTGTACGAACCTCAAGTCAACTCCCCCAAAGACTTCACAGAGGGGACCCTCTTCTCCGTGAACCAGGAGTTCAGCCTAATGTGAGGTTCATGTTGATTGATTTAAAATAAAAGTACCATGCTGAATTTTAGTGCTTTGATTTTTATTCAAATAATCATTTGACTTAATTGATGTTAAAAGCAATAACTTAATATTATCACTGTATTTGTAACATTTCATCTTTTTTAATTTAAAAAGTATTAGAGACCAGAAGGTTGAGTGGGTGGGATAGTATAGCATTATCCAGCAGAGCTATTTATCTGAAGACTCAGTCAGATACTGCTGAATGATATTTCCTCATCATTGATTATTATTGTTTCATGGCAATGTAGTTTGTTGAGAACCGTCACTAGCTAGCGGAGGCTCTACCTTGTTTGCAGGAATCAAAGAGCTTTGTACATTTTTATTTGAAATAGTTTGTTACCTGAGCCCCCATAACAAGCCTGGGGTTGCTTAAAGGAAAGCTTTATGTCGTGATTGTTACTAAACCCTTTAAGCAGCACTGGATGATAATTTTTAGAATAATTCTAACTTCTGACATTGTACTATAATAAGATGTTTAACACTTTCATATTTTTTTGCAGAAAAAATGCAAAAGTTCAGAAAAGGGGAAAAATAAATTTGATTGGACGCTTGCAGCTCACTACAGAAAGAATGAGAGAAGAAGAAAATGAAGGGATAGTTCAACTAAGAATATTAAGAACCCAGGTTTGTATAGGGAGAAAAAGTTTAAATATTTGAAAGCTTCTTTAAAAAAATTTTTCAACAGTTAGGTGTGGTGGTACATTCTTTTAACTCCAGCCCCTGAATTAATAACCATGTAAGTTATTTATCTGTAAAGAAGAGCTAATGTGCATTTGACTGGAATTTAAAAACTAATCTAATTCTTTAATGCTACCAGAAATACACCTAAAGTTTGGAGGCTTCCAGTAAATTCTAATATATTCTTTGGGTAAAGCCTTGGCTTTTAGTTATATCTCCTTTTGATTGTAACTGAATTAATGTATCTTAGCAGCAACTTAGAATTTATAGAATTTGAAGTTGTAAAAATATGATGATTTCTGAACATACTCATTACCAGGAAGGTGAGACCGCTCAGTGGGTAGCGATAACCAAGCTGACAGCTTGCTCCATCCTGTGTGAGAACTTTGAAAAGTTGTCCTCTGGCCTCCTCAAAAAAAAACATGGCACACCTAGATCATCGTACACCCAATACAGCATAAATGCTGTGTTCCTAGTCATCACACTATGTTTAGGGAATGTCGTCTAGGTTTGTATGATTATCATAGGCCTAATTACACTTTTGTTGTTTTGTTTCTTTCGATTGGGATTAAAGGCATGTGTCACCACAACTAGCTCATAATTACATTTTTGATTTGTAGTACGGAACTCATAGATACAGAGAACCAACTATATCTGTTCACTTTTCCTTTATAAAAATATTCTAATCTGCACTAAGACTCCATGTTGCTTTAGTTGATTAAGGAAAGCTAAAAGATAATGGTAATTTCAGTAGGTCACACCTTGTGGGTAACAGTCATTGTCGAGCTCTGTGTAGTTTCAGAATCACCAAGAACATGTTGATAAAATTGACTTGGAAAAATGTTGATCCCTTAGAAACATTTAAACATCAAAAGCATGTAATTAAATCAGTAAAACTGAAAACAGAATCTGTGGTAAACATTAATGGCACTCTGTTAGTCTAGTTTATATGTAGAGTAGTATTTCCTGATTTTCAAGACACACACCCATGGTTCACATCTTTTATACAAAGGAATACCTGAATACTAGAGGCAAATATATCTAAGGGGATTCTCGTTCTTTTTCATTTTGTTTATTTCTGTGTAGGTCAGAGCACGACTTTTAAAAATTGATTTCGATTTTCCCCCTTGTTGGTCTCCGGCAGGGGTGGCTCTCAGGTCATCATGCTTGGGAGCAAAGAAGTGGCTTTCCTCTCTGAACTGTGAGCTGTCGTCAGCATCACACAGTGGGGCACAGCTGTCTGTGACTGCAGTTCCAGAGAAGCCAGTGCCCTTTGCCAGCCTGTTAAACATCAGCCATGCATGTGTACACAGACATACAGGGAGACAAACACCCAAACACATTTTAATTTTTAAAAATGGTTAGAGAGATTATAGGGTACTATTGGCTCTCTTCACTTTTCAAAATTTTTGTAATAAGTGTAATGAAAAAAATCATAGTGAATATCCAGGTGAGTACCTACCCACCAGTTGTTGTGCGATTGGGTTGGTGTTAGAAGATAATGTAGGAAAAGTTACTGATTTTTTTTACTCAAACAAGTTTAATGTATTAATGTACTTTCATTTTCATCTTTCTCTTAGGAAGCCATCATACAAATAATGAAAATGAGAAAGAAAATTAGCAATGCTCAGCTGCAGACTGAATTAGTAGAAATTTTGAAAAACATGTTCTTACCCCAGAAGAAGATGATCAAAGAGCAGATCGAGTGGCTGATAGAGCACAAGTACATCAGGCGGGACGAGGCCGACATCAACACCTTCATATACATGGCGTAGCCGAGCGCTGCGCCTCTGTCCGCGCAGATCCTGGAGCACTGCACAGAAGGCTGTCCCAGTTTGAGCTGGAGGAAGGTTTATTTGGACTTTGATTACATAAATATTAAACTCTCTGCCTTACCTTACAAACGACTGTATTTTGCCAGTCACATTAGTTAGCATGACGGCATTCATTCCCTTCATGTTGCACACTCTTTAACAGCATGCTGTTTCGTGGAGAAGATTGCATTCATGGAGAGCCCATTATGAACTTCAAAGTCAGTTCAGTTTTACCAACCAGGAGAAGTTTTGGAAGGGTGAAGGTGGGGTTCTTGTTGCTTCTTTTACCCCCTTTTTCCTTTTCAAAGGAATAGACTTGCACAAGGAAGGATAGCAGATATTGCACTGAAAAAGGCTTTTAATCTTTTTTTTTAATGCAATTAAAGCCAGAGGTAGCACTCTTAGCTTCTTTTGATGAAAAGAGTGAAGTTGTCAACACCATGTTGGGAGGAAAGGGCAGGTGTACTTGAGAAGATGAAGATGTAATATTATCAAGTTGTTTGTTAAACACTGCTTGCAGTTTGATAACTGGATTTAAATGGTGACCCGAAAATGGTATTAAATATTTCTATCTTACAAATCCTGATTGTCATTAAGCAGGAGATTGCTGTTTTAGTTGTTTGTTGTTAAATGATAAGGATTTGGGGTTTTCTTTCTAAGTCTTGTATGGTTGGAGAGCTTATTTGAAAATATGAAGATTATAATGAATGTTGCTTCATTTGTTAAATTTATGAGTATAAGTAAGTCATTGACTGCAGAATCAGAACCACAAAGCAAAAATGTTAAGTGTGTTACTAATACACTTAATTCTTATACACGTAATATCTATTATGCTGTGTTTAAATTTATTGAAAAACTGCAGAAATATGCTCTGATACAGAACAGTGAGAAAAGTGCTTTTTAAACCTGTAGCATAAAATTATTTGGTGTTTTGAAAGTGTTGTGATTAGGGATTTACCGCCTCAGTTTTCTGGAAAGGCATTCTCTGATAAAAAGTAATTATCATCTATTACCTATGAGGAAGAGAGGGTGAGATTAAGCCTGAGACGAGAGAAGCACTCAGAGTTGTTAGTCTTGTTTTTTTTTT